ATAATCCTTCATAGATTATCTATTATAGAATTGAATAATAAATTTATTTTCTTTATCCATTGATTCATTAAAAAGACATATTCTCAATCACTGAATTTATTAATTGATATATTATTGTGATAATTATCAATAAATATTTTAACTATGTAAAATACTTCTTTCCAATAACAAATTAAAAAAAAAACAATAATCTAAACAAATTAAACACTATAATAATAAATTTAAAATTAAAAAAAAAATTAGTTACTAAACATAAAAACAATTAAACTATAATAGAAATCAATAAAAATAATTTATTTATAACGAAACTAATTCTAATCTCCACTAGCTTATCTACTGTGTGGTTATTCCATCATTACTTCAATATTTTGGTTAGTATTTGTTTGAATTAGAAAATAAAAAATACAACAAAAAAAAATAATAAAAATAATTAATTATTTTAGAAATTAACAAAAAGAATTTAAGTTCCAATTCAAAGTTTTTTAGATTATTCCCATTGATTGAACAGAAGAAGAGAAAGTTTTTATTCAAAAAGCATTTAATGAATAATAATTTTAACAAATCTTGTAATAAAAAATGAAATTTAATTCGTGTTTAATATTTTTGATACTAAATTGTTACAACAAAGTGATTGTAGCTATCCATAAGTATTTCTTTTCAAACTTTTCTTATAACGTTTTTTTGGTTAATACTAATACATTACAATGAACTTTGTTTTGTTGTTTTAAAAATTTCATTGATGGAATTTTCATATTTGAGATATAAACTTCTAGCATTAGCTAATACTTCATTAAAGCAACTAAGTGGGAAGACTTTCTAAACATAATAAATAATTTATTTTATATAAAAAGAATTGTAAAATGACAAACCATTAAAAAAAGCATAGCTTCATCTTCGCTTTGAATTAATAACAACTTGTCTTTATTTTCTCTATTCATAAATAATGTATATTTTAATTTAATTGGTAAAATTAAAAAAAAACAAACAAAATAATTTCAGCCATAAAACATAATAAAAAAGAGAACTTTTTTGATACAAAGACATGATCAAGTAATATAGTTAAATCATCTATTGGTAAAATACGTGAAAATAGAGTAATAATTGGTTCAAAAGCATAAAACATAGGATGAGCATTTATTTGACTAAGATAGTTATATAGATCTGTATCAATTAATTCTAATAATCTCCCATATAATGTTGTTGCCATTATAGCACCATCTTTTAGTTTTGGATAATACCATAAATTTAATTTTTTATAAATATAGCAAACTACTCTATAAACATTACATTCAACATCTGATATTTCATTTGATTTAACCTCTCCAATAAATTCTTCATTAAATATTTGATAAAGGGGTATTATTATATCAATTAATCCTTGTGTATATGGACAATTATATTCAGTTTTAGCAATAATAAATGCTATTCTTCTAATACTAGCCAAAATAGGTAAATTCTAATAAATAATTATTTGTTATTAATGTATTAGTAACAAAAAAAAAGAAACAAATAATAATAAGAAGAAAAATAACAAACTTTAGAACAAAATGTATTTGTTACACGAGCAAGATCCATATCAATCTTTTCTAGAAGTTTAATATCTTGTTTATCATACCCTTTTATACTATCAAAAATTTTATTATTATTTAATGCTTTAAGAAGATATAAAGAATATCCTTCAGAAGTTATTTTTGAGAATTCCTTAACTTTTTTACAAGAAAGTGTATAATATTTATGTACTAAAGAATAATACTCATATTTGTTAATTTGTGTATTCATTTTCATTTCTTCTAAAGAAAGTTGTTCATTATCATAATGAAGTAATTTACGGTAAATAAGTTTTCTTTTTTGATTATTAAGGTCTTTTATACTGTGGAATTTATCAGGTTGAATTTCTTTTAGTTCAATAGAAGGTGTATTGAATGAAGGAGTAGTTGGTTGAATATCCAATGGTTGGTTCATGAAGAATAAAACTAAATTATTTTTAAGTTTTTTAAAGAAATAGAAATTTAATATCCTTTTTTAATTCTATTAGTCATTAAGTTGAAAGTTAAATTAATTTAAGAATTAATTAAACATCATTTTCTTCTATTGGTGAAATAGTTAAGACATGAATTCCTAAATGATGAGAAAATGCATAACAAATATCACCAATTAAAAGTGATTCCATAAAGAACGCAAAAATTAATCCCCCAATAGTTGTTAGAAAAGCCAAAGACTCATTGTGAAATATAAGAACAATGAAAAGGGTAATAATATATAATCCATATCCATAGAAAATATTATCCATCATTGAAATAGGTTCTTTACATATTCTTTTTACAACTAATCGTTGAGTTAAATATGCGTTAATTAAAATAATTATATAACAATTAATCCAGAAGACTTTATAAGATTGGTTAAGATTTCTTTGAAGTAAAAGAATAAGTAATAAAGTCAAAATTAAAAATATAAAATATTGTGTCATACAAAGTATTGCAGATGAAAGGTTTGTATTATTCTTTTGTGACCAATGAGAAACATTTAAATAATATTTAAAACATCCTAAAACACAACAAATTAAAATAAAATAATAGATCATGTCATTAATAGATACCATTAAAATAATTGTTTCTCCAACTTTTGGAAAAAAGCCTTGAAATAATAAAAATCCTATTGTTAAATATTGTAGTTCAGTTGGGTTCATAATATATCCTAATACTAATGTTCCTACATGATATTCTTCCCAATGAGACATATAAAACACAGTATTTAATGCCATCATTAATAAATAACATTTTGTTGTTGTTTGATGAAGATTTAATACAACAGCTAGACTAAATATACCAATCATTATTGAATCAACTCCATGATCAAATAACTCTCCTAATGGACTTGAAGATTTTGTTCTTCTTGCTTGTTTTCCATCTAAGTTATCTGCTGTTTGATATAAAAAAATCATAATACATACAAAAATATTAACTAAAATATTTGGCTCACTATTAGGACCAAGAAAAATATTCATTATAATCATTGCCATTCCCATAAATAATCCTCCAGCAAGTGTTATCATATTTGGTGCTAACCACATAGGAAATTTTTCTATCAATATATTCCAGAAATATGGTCCTAAAAAATAATTTACCATTAGACTTAAATCAACACCACTATACTTATAATATTGTAAGTTATCTAATCCTTGCTCGCTAACAAAGAGAGGGAATTTAATAAGATTACAAAACATTATCTTTATTAGTATCTTTTCATTATATCTTTTCTAACAGATTGATTTATTATAATTAAAATATATTTTTATTATAAATAATACTTTTCTTTTTTTTGTAAAATGACTAGAGTAAAAAATTATAAATTCTAATAAAATAATTATTAAATAAACTATAATAAGATAGGTAGTTTTTAAAGAATTTATGTCTTTGTTTTGAGAATGAACTGATAAAACAGAATCACACAAAAGAATTATGTTAAATGGATCAATGAAAATATGTGTTATTGGAGATATGAGTTTGTTTTAATACGAAAAAGAAAGAATAATATTTAATTGATAGGTGTTGGTAAGACATGTATTTCTAATAGATTAATTAAAGACCAATTTATTGATGAAGAAAAAGCAACTATTGCGGCATCATTTGTAACAACAAAATTAGAGTCAGAAGGAAAAGAAGTGGATGTATCTATTTGGGATACTGTTTGTTGATATTATTTTTAGAAAAAAGGATGACAGGACTTAACAAGACATTTAGGCAGGACAAGAGAAATATAGATCAATGGTATCAATGTATTATCGAGGAAGTAGTGGAGCAGTTATTGTCTATGACATTACTTCAAAAACATCATTTGAACATATACGTGGTTGGTATAAAGATTTAAAAGATGCTGTTCCTGATGTAGCGGTTGCTGTTGTAGGGAATAAGAGTGATATTAATGATCAAAGAGTTATTAATGAAGATGAAATAAAAAGATTAAATGAAGAATTAAAAATTGAAGTATATGCTGAGGTATCTGCTAAAACAGGTGAAAGTTTGTATTAAAAGAATAAAAAAATAAATATAACTATTAACAATTTAGATGTTAAAAAAGTATTTCTGGATTTACTTAAATTTATGAAACCAAAAGAACGAAGTGAAGTTACTTGTATTGAACATCACCAAATTCAAGAAAAAGATGAAGAGTCAACTAGTTGTTGTTAAAATAATTAATGGGATAGTTTCTATTAAACACTATTAACTTTTATTTAATTGTTTTTGTTATTGTTCTTTTAAATTGTTTTGAGACAAAAATTAATTGAAATTGAAATTGTAATATTAAAAATCTTTTTTATTTCTTTTTTGTACCCATTTTTTTTTTATAAGAATTTATAACATTTAATTTACGGTTGACAGCTTTTTTAATATCTTTAAAAATAAAAATAAAATACCTTCATTAAAAGAAGAGTTTATTAAATTAATTGAATTAATCATTTATCGTTATGAAATAATTAGATTGTGTGAATATTTAATACTAATTTTCTTTTTATTTCATTAAAAATACAAATGAAAAAATATGTAATTTTATAATTTACTTTAAATAACTCCATCATTAATTTTAAATTGTCAATAATAACACAGAAAAAGAAGAAATTAATAAGTTATTTATAATACCACAACGTTTAAATTAAAAATAAATATATTCATTAAATATTATTTAAATGAAAATTTGTTGTAATTAGAAAAAAAAATAATAAGTTATAAGAAAGGTTTAATAATTTCATAAGTTTTATCCCATACTTCTTGACGTTCTATAGTATTTTCTGCTCTTTTATATAACATACTACATTCACAGTCTTTATAGTAACCACCATTAATAATAGAGTCTGAAAATATACAATGTAATGCCGTTTGAATTCCATCTTCAACACTTTTAAAAATAAAAAATCCAAGAATTTTATATCCCCATTGAATAAAGAGTGGATATTTATGTAAAATATTTGATATTACAACACCAGGATGAATTGAAACTGCTTCAATTCCATGAAGACTTAATTCTTTTGCCATCATCATTAATGCTAATTTACTTTGTGAATATCTTTGATAACAATTAAATTCATTCTTTTTACAATCCAAAGTAATAGGTTTATTAGCGAATTGTGCCATAATAGATGAAGTTATTATAAATCTTCCATGTCTTATTTTTAGAGCATTTAATAATTTTAAATTAAACAAAAAATGTCCAACATAATTAATTCCTATAATCCCTTCTAAATTTTGTTTAGTTTTTGTAAAGGGTGAAATAAGAATTCCTGCATTATCAATAATATAATCAATTTCTGGATATTTTTCAATACATATTTCTGTTGCCTCTTTTACACTTTTTAAATCTCCTAAATCCATTGTTATATGTTCAAATTGTGAATTTGGAAATTCTTTTATTAATTCATTTGATATCCTTTGTGCTAATGATTCATTCCGTGAGAAAGAAACAACAGTGGCATGATGTTTTAATAATTCTCTAACTAAGGCAATTCCCATCCCATGTGTACCTCCTGTTAAAACAACAACTTTGTCTTTAAGGTCCTTTTCAACAAGGTTTTGTCTTCCACTACAATACATTTTTAATAAAAATAAAAACACTCCAATTAAAATGATATTTGTTATAAAATCCATACCTTTTAACTTTTATTTTTTAGTTCAATTAAATTAATTTCTCTTTTTATTAACAGTATTTGTAAAATTATTGAAATATTTGTTTTTTATTATTTAATAAGTTCAACTAATTTATAAATATAACAAATATTAGGATTTATTGCTTTTCATATTATTAAATTCTTTTGTTAATTTTTTATGAAAATATAATATGAGTAAAAAGAGTAAGAGTATATATGGTTTATAACAATACACTATATTATTTAGAATAATGATAAATGTTCTCAAGATAGCATTGTTATTAAACAACTAAAATTTATAAATTTAAAAGATGTTGCTAATTAAAATAAATAAATGAATGTGTCTGTTTAGTTAAGAAGAATTAACTTATTTAAAAATATAAATAATTGAAATAATTAAGTACTTTATAAAATAGTAATACTTTAACCAATACCTAATAAGATTAATTAATAGACAAATAATTGAGAAATATTAATTTAAAGACTTTGAATAAATATATATTAATTAATAATTTTTTTGTTTTTTAACAAATAGAAAATATTTAAAACAGAATAAGGATATTGTTTTTAATAAATGAAATGGTTGTTAAATATATATTAATCAAAATTAATGTTTAAATTTGATAATCATATAGAATACTATCTCTTAAAAACTGTTTTGTATGTTTTTTAAAAAAGTAATAAGACAAATATAAAAGAAGAAAAATATAAAAGAAACATATAATTTAACATTAAATAATATCATAAATATTTAAATAATAAATAAAATATTAAAAATATTGTTATAATTAGGAATCATGAATATGCTTCAATAGAATTTAATAAAAATAAATTGATGAATGTTTTATCATCAAATAATTCAATATGTTAAA